CGGGCGGTGGCTTCCCGTGCGGTGTGTGTGCACCTCCTGCCGTGCCCCGCCCAGTGGGTCTAGAAACCGGTTGGTTACAGAGTTCTGTTAACGCGTTTTGGTTCCCTGACAGTAGGTGCTACGTTTTGTCAGCTAAATCCAATTAAAAGACCAGCACGTTTCGCCTTTAAAAAAATTCAATTGTCGTTTTTAAGTGGAAACACTTTGTTTTCTCCATAACGAGGATAACGTCCCCATGAAAGTTGAGCTTTCAGTGTGTTTTCGAAACCACAAACTGGTGTTTTTTTCAAAACCAAGAATATTTACTGTTACTTAATGCTGTGATACATTCTTCAAAAAAATTTTGCAGAATAGTTCAGTTTTTGGTAGAATCTGCTGTTGAAAATACCCTTACTGTTTTAAAAAAGTTACATTTGACTTTTTGACTTGATAGGTTTTTTTGAAAAATGTAATATTTAATTTCTTGTTCTTCTAATTTGTAGGTTAATAATTGTGGTCTTCAGCTGGTTATCCAGACGTCATCAATAACAGATAAAAGCAAACCGGTAATTATTACCTTTTTTTTTTTACTTGGTTATGTTGATTAATGGGGTTGTATAGTAGAGACGGATTTTTATGCTTTCAGGTGGGAATTGCTTTTTCAGTAGTAATATATTGACTTATATGATGTGTCTGATACATCTTTAGTGGCATAAATTGCCAGAAGGCTATTAATACGTGGGGGTATACTGTAGCCTGCCATAAGCTTTATATGCATATGATTTCTTATGCTTCATCTGTACTTAATATAATTGCAGTACTCCTTATAGGATGGGGTTTTTTTCTTTATTTGGTCAACTACAGATGAATGTGCAGGCAACTTCCATATTTTTGCTTTCCAGCAATGAAACTTTTAAGTCATAGTATCTCAATAGAATAAATACTTTTTATTAAAGTAATTTTTTTTTTAAAGCCTTTGCAGAGTTTTCTCATAATGGTGGTTGTTACTAAGATTGTGTTTATCTGTTGAAAAAGGTTGTTTGCATTTGAAAGCTTTAACGTTTGTCTTAAATATTGTGTTACAGTTTGAATTCAGGATAAATAAAGAACAGTCATCTTTCAATCACAAACTTCTGCAGCATGATCTGGAAAAAAACTACTCAGGAAGGCAAGGTGATATTCAGTGGGGTTTGGTTTGTTTTTCTTCTCTATGTTCTTTTATTAACTGAACAGTAAAAAAAGACTGTATTATCGTTAGAATATGTGAGACTGACAGCTTTTCCTAATTGGCTACCATAATTCAATACAATTACAGCTGCATTATGTCCTGAAACTGCTGTCCTTGTACTGTCTAGCACAGGTAGCTTTTTTTTATCCCTTTTTGTCTCATTCTGTCCATAGAGGAGCATCCTTTCTTCTACCTACAAAGCCACAATCTCCGACACCCTAGTATACATTCTCTCAGAAGCCACACAATTCTCTACTGTAATATTTTATTGGATATTTAACATTTTAATGTGTTTAGACAAATTTAATTTCTAATTCAGAATGTTAGTATGAAGAGAGAGTTTTCCTATTGTTCTTGTGTGCTCTTGGCTTTGTAAAGCAAGAGAGTTGTTGATACCACTGCTAACTGTGGCAAAGCCTGGAAGAGCTTTGGAATGCATCACTCTTTGCCACACTGCTGATGCTTGCCTCTCATACCAGAACAGTGGTGGGTTATGACAGGAGATCAGTTGAATTATTATAGCAATTCTAATTCTTGTAAAAAATGAGGACCACAACTGTTCAGAATGAGTTGATTTTTAGGATGCTATGCAGCTTATTACGGAGTAAATTTTAAGTCTACAGTTTGGTTTTGTTCCCCCCCCACAGGAGAGCAAAGAGTATTAAGTCCTTTAGTGCGCAATAAGCAGATGTATCTTCCAGTACCATCCAGTCTGACAGAACTTTCTGGTTTGGAGTTGAAGCAGAATACAGGTACTTTATCAGGATTTGGAGAGTCTTCTGTTCACACGCCTACGAAATCCAGGTCCCGGCAAAGCAGCCATGGTATTGGTTCATATGCATCAGGTAATGAGGGTCTCGTGTTTTTTTTAACTGGGTATCTAACTGAGAAGTTACAACTTGCAGGGTGTGCTGCTTCTGGCTCTCAGAACGTGTGCCTGAATAGCAAGCGTTACCTGCTGTTCCCTTTGCCTGTCAAGAGAGGTTAATGGATCATTGTCAGGAAACCACTAGAAATATTTTCTGAAATATAATGTAGACAATTATAACCACTTAAATGTAGGCTTTTTATATACCATTCTTTAACAGAAGGGCAGTAATAGGGGTCTTTCACGCCTTTGGGAGGATGACATCAGAAGGAAAAAAAGCCACTATACTGCCATATTTTATGCATGTATTTTAGGCTGCAATGAACTCGCTCTCTATGGCAGTAAAGCAATTAATCCTTGTTTGTTGGAGCATTAGTGCTTTTCCTATTAAGATATTTGATCTATGTGGAGGAAATTGAGCCTATATCCTTGTAATATGCATGCGTGATGATTTTGTGGTTAGACTTGATGATCTTAAAATCTTTCCCAACCTGAGTGATTCTGTGATTTGTTTGTGACAAGTAATTTTCAGTGTATCAATTGCAAATAAGCCAAACCTCACAGAACAGATTTGTTGATTTATTTTGCAGGTATTTTTAGCTGTCCTCTGTCTTCAAACTTTTATATTAACAAAATGGGTAAAGACAGGTGGCTTTGTAAACATATTTTAAAGGGCTGCATCTATCTTGATAATGCATTGAGTAAAATATAATACCAATGATTACAAGCTATTGCATGCGTCTACTTTTAAAAGACTTTGCATTTGTTTGTAGCTCAGTGGGACTGTTAAAATATTTTTGTGCTTTAGTTTATAGTTCTGTCACCATGGACTTGATCTATGTCTTTAAATTCATCTTAAGTTACATTGTATCTTCTTTAAGTTCAGGTACTGAAGTTCTGAAACAATTATGCAACTGTACCTTGAAACATAACTCACTAATTCTAATGAAAACAAAAGCTTCTACAAAAAAGAAACAAGAAATTGTTCTGAAGTCTCTCAGAAATGAAACAAATGGATGTACTTTGGAAAGAGGATGTAGAGATGTAGTTGTAGACAAAAGATGGCAGGCAAGAGAACCAATAAAGTACTGAATGGGGCATATTGCACTTTCATGTACTGTGTAAGTCTTTACTAGTAAGAAAGAAATTTCTGCTTTTATTATCTGTAATTAATGAACTGATTTTACAAAGAAGTAGTTTGTGTATTCTCTGTATGATTTTCTGATAGATAACACAAATTTTGGGAGCAGTTCATCAATAACATTTCCTATATTGCAACGTACTGCGGAAGAAAAAATACTGAACTCCGATAGACTTACCCTGGAAAGGTGAGAGAGTTCTGGAGCACACACACCGTAGACGAGTATCCTGGTATTGCCTGTGATCAACGTGGGTTTTTTTGTGTTGGGTGATGGTTTTTTGGGTTTTTATGTCTGTGTGGCTTTAAGAGAACTACTTCACCTCATAAAAATTCTCTGAGTGCTGTTGCGATGGATAACTTAGGAAGAAGCTCTTTAATGTGAGGGTGATAGATCACTGGAATAGGTTGCCCAGACAGGTGGTGGAGGCCCCATCCCTGGGGACATTCAAGGTCAGGCTTGACGAGGCTCTGAGCAGCTTGACCTAGTTAGAGATGTCCCTGCTTATGGCAGGGGGGTGGGACTAGATGACCTTTGGAGGTTCCTTCCAACCCCATACTCCCTATGATTCTGTGTTTCTGTGATTCTATGGATAGATCCATACAGCAGCTGTGTAAGGCAGTTAGGGCTTCTCCTTGTAAACTAAGGAGCTGACTTAAGAGTGGAATGTAAAGTCATAAATCTCCCTTAGTTCTAATCTGATGCATTGATTGTAGAATGGTAGTTTGTTTGGTTTTATTTTTTCCCCTGACAAGGACACAAAGTTTTATCTGAAAGATATTTAACTTTTTAATTTTTTTTCCCTGCTGTCCAGGGTGGAATGTGTAAGGTTCATGTAGTCCAAAAAGTTTTGATAGATCAGTAGAACTTCTGGAATAATCCTAAAACAAGAATAACTCTTCTCAGTGTCATTTCCTGTATCTTGTACTTTTCACACTCAAGTTTTTTGTGTATTTATATTTCAAATGTAAAGTTATATAAACCAAAGAAAAAATGCATAGACATAGAACACTCTAAATTGTGATCTAAACATGTTACTTATATGGTATACAACAAAAAAATTAAAGTGTCGGGCTGCATCTATTGAAAATCTAATGTGATCACAACATGAAACTTCCATGTAATTTCCATGTAACAGGCAAATCTGATTAAGAGAACAGGCTTTCAGAGAATTCTGGAAACACTTCTGCTAGGTTTTCATGCTGATTTTTAGTAGTAAGAAGTTACTGCCTTATTTACAAAGTTTAATTAGCAAACCTAGTTACCTTGTTATTGCCTTAAGATCTTGTACTTTCCTCAGTTCAGTTAGAGTAGGTGAATAGAAGGTGGATTACCAATTTGTTAGTTACATGTTTTCTCTTTTTTCCTTTTTCCTTCCAGGCAAAAACTGACAGTGTGCCCGGTTATCGATGGGGAAAATCATATTCGCCTTTTGAACTTCCAACATAACTTTATAACCCGGATCCAGAACATTTCTAATCTGCAGCATCTTGTTTTCTTAGATTTATATGATAATCAGATAGAGGAAATAAATGGGCTTTCAACTCTGAGATCCCTAAGAGTCCTTTTGTTGGGAAAGAACAGGTAAAAGTTATAAAACTTAGTTAAAGCACCTTACTTTTTTTGTAGTATAGCAACTGTGATCTATCACTGTTTCTCTTACAGAGTTTTCAGCTGGTGATGCTGGCTGTGAGACTGCTGAGCCTGTCCCTAAAGCTAGCTAAGTGTTAGGGATCCTTCTGAGGAAGCAGTTTTTGCTTTTAATAGTCTTCAGAAACTTCCTTTCTTAGGTAAATTTTAGAAGCAGTTCTGAAGTATTTAATCTCATCTGTTCTGATCAGCTATCAAATGTATTATTGGATTTCTGTGAGAGGTGGAGTCTGAGTCTCTCTTAATATCGGAGAAATATTTTATAGGCTACAAAGAATCAATGAACATTTTATATCTGATGTATTTAGCTGGAAAAAAAACAAACAAATGAATCATGAATGTTATTGCTTATTTATAGATTCTGTTCTGTTGGGAGATCCAAGGTGCTAGTTGCATTACTTCCTAAAAACACAGGTCAAATCCTGTAGCCTTTAATAATTTAATACAGGTATCTTTGGAATTGCTCACACATCTAAGATTGTGCTCTGATCTGGTTCAGTTTCCTTATTTTTTTTCTGATCAGTAAAAGAACTGTTATGCTTCAGTTCTGTGCAGATTACAAAGAATATATCTCCTAATTCAGCTTCTATCCAAAACAGAACTTTGAATAGTGCAATATGTTACTAGGGCTTACAGCTTTCATATTACATAGTCTTACCTGTAGAAATTAATTCTGTTTAAAGCAAAATACTGTGGCATGCAAATGATAATTTTCAGGTGGTTTAAGGAATTATTTTCCAAATGGTAACTGGATTGAGTGCTGTATAGTTTGTTTATGTAACAGTATGGTTTGGAGATAGGGCAAGAGTACCCATGAATGATTAGAAGTCAGGTGGAGCTGTTGGCAGATTGTTTTCAGCTTCATCTATATGTGATCTTTTATTCTCAAAGCAAATGTATAATACACAGAATGTTTAATATCAGCCAGTAGATGATGCTGTTGAGTGTATAAAAATCGAGGTTTGGAACCAGAAAATGGGACAGGGCAGAAAAGTTTTAAGACAGTGAGGTACAGGGTTTGAAGAAATACTGCCAAATCCATTGGTCTGTATTGTCTAAAGTGGCCTTCAGGGCTTATTTTTAGTCTGTGTTCTCCTAACAAACTCTCAAAAGCCTATGTCACTGCAGTCTTTCTGGTTTGGAGTTAGGTGTTGACCAGTAATAATGGGGTTTTATTATTTGGGTATCTGGGTAGGTTGGCTGTTGACTTTGCTTTCTATTGGTCTAAGTGTTCCTTCCTTATTCATCTTCCTAGAAGAGCTACGTGCATACTGCTGTTGTTGCATTATTGACAGACAGAAATGAAGGTCACAGTCTTTTTATGTATTCATTTATCCTTTTTTTTATTAACAAGGTTCAGAACTTTGTTATTTTTCTGTTACTCTTGGTAGGCTGGAACAGATGGATAAGTTTTGTATTAGCTGGAAATGAAAGAAATTTTCTATCTAGTATGAGAAATAATTTACATCATAATTGAAATCTTTCAGAATAAAGAAGATCTCAAATCTGGAGAACTTAAAAAATCTTGATGTTTTAGATCTTCATGGAAACCAGGTACAGTACAATATCTTGATAATTTGTGTTTCTTTGTAGACGTCATGCATTTCCTGTCTTTTACAGAATTGTTGCCTTTTGGAAAGACAACTGGTATAAAAATTTATAACTCTTGAGGTCACAGAAATCAATAAATTAATAAAAGGTAGTATAATATTTGGAATCTTGGCATTGGATCTCTTGTACTTTAAGTGATGTAAGTTACAGAGACTAAAATGCTGAGTCGGCTGAGTATAACAGCACTTAAAGAAGAGTAGTCTAGGGTAAGGAGTTGTGATGTAGTTTAAAGGAACGCAGTCTTAGAAGTCACAGAAGAATTTAAGGTCTCATTGATTGTTGTGTTATTTTGTGAGATCACCAGTAGTAGTAACAAGATCCCTTTGCATATCTGTAGAAGACTTAGATTTGTGCAGGATAAAGCTGAATGGGTCCAAGTTCTCAATTGTTTCATACTTCTGAAATTGAGTCGCTTAATGTCTATTTGTTTTCCCCAGTTTGAGGCTAAGTGGTCATTCCTATTTCAAGTAGTGCATAAAGTTTTAGCTGCAGTACATAAGAGGAAGGTACTTGTTTAATGGGATGTCAGAAGCAGCATGGAGTACTAAGGGGAAGCCTGATGTAGTATTCTTTTGTAAAATAAATTTAAAACGTGATACAAAATGTTCCATAATTGAGCTGTTTAAAACAACATACGGTTATTGTGACTGTGTAAAGCCAATGTGTGAATTTTCTGGATTCCTGTTCTGACAGTTTTCATGTGTTATGGATTTCTGTGTGTGTTCCTTATTATGCAATTGCTTAGTAGTGGGGAATGGGAATGCTTTTTTAATTAAAAATAAAAGGGTTAAAAGTAAACAAAACGGTAACTCGTTGTAGTGCTAGTTTCTCTTTTGATGTGATAAGTTGTGGCTTCTTTGAATGACATTAGTCCAGTAGTATGCCTCTTGTACAGTGGCAGAGGCAGTATAGAAACAGACAGAGGAACATTATGGGAATTGGAGGAGCATTATTGCCCTTGGAGTCTTAGAGTGACCGTGTTTGGAGATGGCTAAGTGTTTGTGTAGTGTTAGTCCTTTTCTTAATGCACTTCTAAGTTTGGGGTGTTTTTTGGGGTTTTGATAAAAGTACTTGCAGACTAGGCATGCAGCTGCACTAGTCATCGTGATTCTATAGTACAAGTGGAGAATTGGCTAATGGAAACTAAATCAAGGTTGTGCACAACTCTTATTAAAAAAAAAAAAATCACATTTACTTCATAATCATTTAACTTTTTTTCATTTAACTTTAGCTAGAGGCCAGTGACTGTTCTTGCACCCTAGAAATTGATACTGGGTCAATAGTTTTTAATACCTTCTCTAATGATCTGTGTTATTAACGTTGGAGGTAACTGAAAGGAGAGCTATATACTTGAGGTGGTTCCATTGCCATTCAGTGGGACCTTGACAGGCTGTAGAAATAGCCTGAGAGACATCTGATTCAAAGAAAGGGAAGTGCCGAGTCCTGCTGTTAAGGAGGAATAACCCCCTGCACCAGTGTGGGTTGGGTGTTCAGCAGCTGAAAAGCAGCTTTGTAGTAAAAGACATGAGTGTTCTGGTGGACAGCAGGCTGGCCATGTGCCAGTGGTGTGCCTAAGTGACAAAGAATACCAACAGCATCACGGGCTGCAGCAGGACAAGTGTTGCCAGCAGGCTTTGGCAGGTAATTCTTTGAGCTCCCCAATGCAAAACAAGTATGAACTTGGGGGAGTGAGTCCAGCAAAGACAATTAAAGGACTGGGCCATCTCCTCACATGAGGAGATGCTGAGACTTGCTTTGCCAGGAGAAGAAAAGTCTGAGTTCTTGCCTGTTTTTATAAATAGAAGATGGGAGAATCTAAATAAGATGGAGCCAGACTTCATGTCAGTGGTGTGCAGCAAAAGGATAAGAATTGTTGAGCATAAACTGAAATAGAGGAAACTTTTTCAAATGTAAGAAAAATGTTACTGTCAGGTTGGCTGAACACTGGAGAAGGTTGCCCAGACAGGTGGTAGAATCTCTGTTCTTGGAGGTGGTCTGAGCCTGACTGGACATAGTCATGGGCAGCATGCTGTAGCTGACCCTGCTTTGAGCAGGGGAGTTGGAAGGGATGATCTCCAGAGGTCCCTTCTGATCTCAAGTGAAGTTCTGATTCTGTGGCTAGGGTTACTTTAGATTAAATTCACTGTCTTTTCTCTTCCTATTTCCCTTTTTAGTGGTAGGAGAAATAGAAGATGAAAATGGTAGAGAGAAAGCTTTATTTTGAGGATACTAGTAAAAAGACAATTCTTTACTGTGAGAACATCCCTTGTAAACCTGTGAAAAAATTTTTATTGGATGACTGTGGCAGCTGATTGAACTGTAGCGCCCTGAATCAAGATCCTATCACAGTATGCACTGAAGAGCACTCTGTATTTTTTGGTTAGCATAGGAGGGTTTCTGTGGTTTGGATGTTGTAATGGTTTGAAAACAAACC